TGCTTCCTTCAACATTTCTTCTCCTCCAAAGGAAAAATAAAGAAATCACAAAAGTTAGTATCACATCTTCCCTTTCAAGAGGCCCCAACTTTATCAATGAGACACAATGAACTGTTTCCCTTTTCTTAAACTTACAACCTATCTACTTTGGGAAACAGGCAAATTTAGGTTTGTTGAAGGTGTTGGTGGCTAAATCACCGGTTGAAGGACTACACGCAAACTTAAAGAGCATGGTTGAAGGCTTACTAAAGTGGCCAGAAGGAACGAAAAACCTTTTCAAAGCAAAGGTGTGTTTCTAATATCTTTTATTAATACAGTATGCCCAAGATGGCATCTTTGGTGCCTAGAATTTGAATCTCATTACCGCAACTTTGCCTTCTCTCACATAACTCAGACGCACACACTTATACATGTTGATCTCTTGCTAGTACATACAATTTGTTTCTTAGCGGCAGGCATATATATATATATATATTAGGATTTGTTTCTGCGGATTCTTGTCCTTTTTTGAGGAGTCATGCTGGTATAATAGGTGAGGCTTCTGTTGGAGATGCTCATCAAGAAATGTGGCACGGAGGCTGTCAAGTCTGTGATGCCTGAGGAACATATGAAACTCCTGACAAACATCCGAAAGGTTAGCTAACAATGTTCAAAGTTGTTTTAAACTTCAGTATCTGTATTATGTCATACACTCATACATTTTCTCTTGGTTCATCTCAGGTCAAGGAACGTAAAGAGAAAAAATATGCAGCTGGCTCTGACATCAGTAAATCGCAGCATTCAATAGATGCTTCATCAAAGTACCTTACCAACTCAATTGGCAGATGGTCTCATAGAAGTTTCTGAGTGGTCAAGTACTGATTGTTTTTTATTTGTCTTCCAGGGCTAGCAGGTGGAATGATACGAAGATATTTTCTGACTTTGAGGATGAATACGAGGACAGTGACGGAGAGGACATGGATGCGGAGTCGCATGGCCGTAGCAAGGCTTCGTCTTTGTTAAAATCCAAGGCATCCGCTTTGAGGTTGGTTGTTATATACAAATTCTGGCACTAATCTTGTCTCGCTATGCTTTTGGATCTACTGACCAACGAGTTGGCGACGTATACAGATCCAAGAAAAGTCGGAACCAGAGTCACCTTGAAGTGGATGAGTCAGATGATGAACCGCTTGACTTAATGGATCGGTACAAAACAAGATTAGCTCTTCGATCAAGTGAACTTCGCAAACGGAAAGCTGACTCGGATGAAGAAGCAGAGTTTGATGTGGAAGGGCGGCTAATCATTCGTGAAGGAGAGAGGGCTAAAAGGAAGGAAATATCTGATGCAGATTTAGATGCCAAAAGTAGCAAAGGTAGCCGTTTCTCTGGAAACTCATCTAGGAAGAACCAAAAGCGGATGAAGACATCAGAGTCTGGATACTCTTACACAGGCAAAGAGTATGCAAGTAAAAAGGCAAGTGGCGATCTGAAGAAGAAAGATAAACTTGAACCGTATGCATATTGGCCACTTGATCGCAAGATGATGAGCCGTAGACCAGAGCAGCGGGCAGTTGCAGTCAGAGGGATGTCAAGTGTGGTCAAGATGGCAAAGAAGATGGAAGGAAAGAGCGCTGCAGAAGCACTTGCCACGACCAAGTTCAAAAAATTCAAGAGGAGTGGTCAGAAGAAATCTGCTGGGAAGAAGAAAAACAAGTAAACACAAGTGGCATAAGCTCCACTCCCATGTTTTAAGATATCAGAGGAACAATAGCTTATTTAAAACACAATTTTGACTGCTGAAACTTTAAACCCCTTTGTTCATTTTGTATTGTAATCAGATGAATTATCTTCAGAGTTGATTTTTAAAAGAGAAATTTATCAACGTCAGTTCCGGATTGTTCTTGTCAATTTATCCATCTCAGCCAGAGTAATAATTAGTAAAGAACAAACTATCCTTGAAAGTTCTTAAGTTAACCATCCCAAATTTGATGATTATCCATCGGCGAACCCAGCCTGTCCTTAATTCTTGCAGAAGACGGCACATTATTAGCATGACAGTAGTATGGTGGCAAAATTTTGATACACTGATGTCTCTAATAGTACCCACATGGTTGAGACAACCTCTACTAGTATCCACAGGCCGGCCCAAAAGTTGCAAAAAAAAAAACGGTGGTATTTGTTCAATTTTTGATAGAGTTTGTAACATCGCTTAAACACTAAGGTGGTGTTATTCAATGATGGATTTTAATAGAATTGAAATCCAACACTAATCCAGTGTTATTCAACTAATGATTATAAATTTAACTTTAAAATCTGGTGTTATTGGATCTTATATTTCATTAGATTTTAATAGTTTGGTGTTATTCAACTAAGATTTGAAATACTTCATTAAAATCCAGTGTTATTCAAAACTAAAAGATTTGTACAATCTTTGTGTAAATTATTAGAATCAAAATCTAAGATATACTGCAAAAATTTTGAAATCCACACAAACAGATTTTTAAAAACAATATCATAAAGCAAATCTAAACTTTAAAGAATTGACTTTAACTCTGTGATTGAATAACACCTCCTAAATCACATAAGCCAGGATTGATTCTACTTGATGATCTTTTACATTGTCACTGCTGAATTAACATAGCAAGAAGAACATACTTCTGGAATTAGTATAAGTTTTGCCTTAGATGGGATGGGATAAATGGTGCTTCCACTGAATTTTAGCCAAAACATATCTTAAAGTCTCCTCCTTGGTTTTTTTCGTTCTGCTGATCATTGGTAGTTAATTTCTACTTTCTAGATAAGCAAGTTGATTCCCAGAAAATTATTGTTACCTATATCATAATTTATAAATTTGAATTTGAATAAAATTTCAAACATGATTATATCCCGCTCAATAAACAGAAAAAAAAATCCACACTCCAAAAAATATTACAACAAACAATTAAAACCGGAATGAATAACGTAAAAATACACAATGATACAATGATATCCCACAATCACATCATCCATCTTTAGCGATAAACAGTATTACAGTAAACACACGCCGCTCATTTTTCCACACACAGCGCTCAGCTCTTTGTTCTTTTTTTTTTTTGGTTGGTGACCAATTATTTCAAGGCACTCTTTGTAGTATAAGCCACATTTATAAGTATATTTTCACTGAGAACGATAGAACATATATTCTTAGTTTCTAGATAGAGACTTTGATGCATATATTCTTAAGTTTAAACGTCAAAGCCACTTTGTTGCTTCCAATTATATATTACCAACGTAGGATTAATAATTTAAGTTCAATATTATTATCAATTTGTATATATATATATACTAGATTTTAACCTGCGGTACACCGCGGGATGATTTAATTTTAAAGTTAGTATAAAAATATTTTGTAAATTGTATCTCCTTATAACATATTTATTTATATTATAGTTTACAATTGTTATTAAGTAACGGTATACCATGAGTCCACGAGACAATTATTAATAAATTGAGGATTTAACCCGTATTAAAGCGGTATATAAATATTGATTCAAATTCGTCCGCCATATAAATCATTTCCGAAATATAATTCGTTCCGTAATTTCTTAACCCGTCCCGTGATTTGTATTAATTTTAAAATTTAATGATTATTTATTATATATAAAAGTTTACAAATCATATCATTCTCTAAGACATTTACATTTTAATAAACTGAAGATTTAATATGTATTAAAGCGGCATGTTAATGATATTTAAAATTTTATAAATATTGTTATTAAGTAATATTATACCACGGGATAATTTTTGGTTTTATACAATCTTTTCTAAATGAGACTGATTTAATATGTCTAATATTGGTGGTATTAAAAAAAAAGGGATTTAATCCGTATTGAAGCGGCGGTTTAATGATATTTTAATCTTTTTATTATTGTTGATTCAAAAACCCGTCCCGCCAAACCCGTCCGGTCAAAAAACTCATTTATTTTATTAATGTTGATCTTATTTATGATATGATTCTGAATCATTGTCTAAATATTTTAATCGATGTAGAACGTTGAACACACATTTTCGTCAATTAGATAATATATGTCCGTTTTTAAAATTTCGAATCACAGTATATGCAGAAAAAAATTAATTTTTTTTACTTTATGTATTATATGATGATTCAAATACAGTTAAAAACAAATCAAACAAAGATGATAGGAGAATCATAATTCTAAATCTTAATCAAATCTTCTAAATATCTAAATTATTAAATATGGAATATCCGGTGTATGAGTTGGGTTAAATATAACCCGATCCAACAAATTTTTTGTGAAGGATTTTTAAAAACGGGTCGGATATCCGAGTAATCCAGAAGCATTTTTACCCACCCGTCACCAAAGTGTTGCAAAAATACTAGTATTAATAACCCAGAAGTATTTTTACCCACCCGTCACCAAAGTGTTGAAAAAATACTAGTATATATATATATATATATATATATATATATATCTAAAGAAAGTTCATAAGTCGACGCAAAATTAGCAACAATATTTTAGGATGAAAATTGCCGCCAAGATATATAAGATCGTCTGAAATCGGTTACAACGAACGGACACGCATCACTAATTTACGACTTGTGTACTAAGCCGTCCCTAATTGCCGGACGGATTTACGATTACGGTAAAACAAGTATCGTTATATCATATTCATAAGAGACTAGAAATGGATTCGACTGTCACTAATCAGCTGTTTTCTTGTAATATAGATACACATCATATATATACATAAATAGCAGCATCTTCCGTATTTTCCAGTCTCAAACCTATACGAAATCTTCTATTTCTAACACCGCCTACATTTTACCAACTGGAATTAAAAAAAATTACTATCCGGACGTAATATATATATTAACAAAAATATGCAACAATGGTGAGATGGGTTAATCTCCTTGTAAACTTTTATGGAAGTTTCTACTGTAATAGAGACACGTAGACACATAGGTTACATGTAATTGTCTATATAACCTTTTTTTATTTATCTTTTTTTTTTTTGTCTCCAAAACCTTAGAGACAATAAAAATATAATCCCTAACACATCAGTAGAGAAACCGAACAAATTAAACACGAAGCCCGAAAAGACAAGGATAAGAGAGACTGTTACTTTGCTCTCTCTCTCTCTGTCTCTGTCTAGAGTCGATCTACATTCTCTGAAGCAAAGCAATGATGACGGAGGAGAGAGAGGCTATGTTGTCGTGGCCTCTGATCGGAGAGAAAAAGGAGAGAAGTAGATTAGTAAAGGAGGAAGTGAAGAAGCAGCTACTGTTGTCTGGGCCACTAATCGCAGTGAGTCTTCTTCAGTTTTGTCTGCAAATAATCTCAGTCATGTTCGTCGGACATCTTGGCTCTCTTCCTCTTTCTGCCGCCTCCATTGCCACCTCCTTCGCCTCCGTCACCGGCTTCACCTTCCTTGTCAGTCCTTTTATATCATCCCTCTCCCTCTCTCTATTCTGTCTAGCTAATCATTAGTTTTCTTTCCTGATAATTTATTCTTTTACAACAAAGTTTTTATGAGATCCGAGAATTATTAGGTATAGTATATATAGTATCTAATAATTCATTTCTCTCTACTAAAAATATTTAAAAATATCGATTGTCGTTAATGCTGCCTAGACACCACCGATTACTTTGACTATTTTCGTATTTAATTAATAAAAAGTTAAAATATTATTTAATCAGTCGAGTATTCTTAAAAAAAGCTGCTAATTGCTGCTTAAATGCAAGATTTTTGCCGTCAAAAGAGAAGGGTACATTTCGGGTGTTATCAATGCAAAAATTAATTCACAGAAATCTTAGAAACCTAATACTTAAATCTGCGTAAGCTAGTATGATAATATGCTGGTTTAAACTTTACATGCAGTTTAAGGCCCTGAATGTTTACTACTAGTTTTTAAGTGGTTTTTGGTTTTTAGATTTTGGTTTTTGGATTTTTTTTTTTTTTTTTTGTCATCCGAAATTAATTAAAGCTCAAAAAATTTAAAAAACCAGAATCCAAAAACTCAAAAAAAAACTTTTGAGCTTTTGAGTTTTTGGATTCTGGTTTTTAAAATTTTGGTTTTTGTTTTTTTTGTTATAAATATAAAAATTAATTAAAAATATCAAAAAATTAAAAAAAGAAACATGATTACGTTGAAAACTAAAATTTTCCCCAAAATCCTCAAAATTGTGGTTTTTAATTTCTCTTTCAAACTTGGAAAAACCACTTAAAAACTAGTTTTCCTAAATTTTAGGGAATCTAATTTTTTTAAATCTTGAAAGGTGAAAAAATAAATTTTCCCATAAACAAAAATCAAAAACCACTTAAAAACTAGTAACCATTCAAGGCTCTGAATCTGAAACTTGATTGGGTGGTTATTTTCTCCGTCTTAAATTAACATATGTCGAATGAGACATAAAATAAAAATAACTGCTGATATATAATTAATATTCAGCTACGATGTACCTATCAAGCCATCTTGTCTGAATTTCCAAGTTGCATATATTCTATGCTACTCCATTAGGTACGAGAACAAAGACATTTTGTCATTTTTAGGAGAAATGCGAAAACACCAAAAAAAAAAAAACAAGAAAAGGTGTTTGTATATAAATATATTTTTTTTCATCTTTTTTTTTTGCTACCCCCACATGTCTACATTGCATGGTAAATGATATATGCACAGTCCAAATTTACAATCGAACGATGTGAACTGAAGGATTACGTTGAACACTTACTTGTAAACCAAGAAATCTAATCGTAAGAAAGCTATTCACCTTTGAACAGATGGGAACAGCAAGTGCGTTGGACACAGTTTGTGGTCAATCGTACGGAGCAAAAATGTACGGAATGTTAGGCATACAGATGCAAAGAGCAATGCTTGTTCTTACTCTTTTCTCTATTCCTCTCTCCATCGTTTGGGCCAACACAGAGCACTTCCTTGTCTTCTTCGGCCAAGACAAGTCCATTGCACACCTCTCTGGATCCTACGCCAGATTCATGATCCCTAGCATCTTCGCCTACGGTCTTCTTCAATGTCTCAACAGGTTTTTGCAGGCGCAGAACAATGTGTTTCCTGTGGTGGTTTGTTCTGGAGTCACCACTTCTCTTCACGTGATCATCTGTTGGGCCTTGGTGTTGAAATCTGGTTTAGGGTTTAGAGGAGCTGCTGTGGCGAATGCGGTATCGTACTGGCTTAATGTCATTCTCTTGTCGTGTTACGTCAAGTTTTCGTCTTCTTGCTCATTGACCTGGACTGGTTTCTCTAAGGAGGCTCAGCACGATATCATCCCTTTTATGAAGCTAGCTATTCCTTCTGCAATTATGGTTTGGTAAGCCTAATTAATAACCAAAATGCCTGATTAATTAATTAGTATCCTTTTATAGTATCTTTATTTTTGGTGATGTTGTTTGATGAGCAGCTTAGAGATGTGGTCCTTTGAGCTTTTGGTTCTCTCGTCAGGACTTCTTCCGAACCCGGTTCTAGAAACTTCTGTCCTTGCAATCTGGTAAGAACAATACATGTATATATTTGTAGTGTAATTGTTATCTCGTTGTCATAATTCAGAACCAAATTTAGTCATTACCTTGTGATTAAGTTTGGTAAGAAAATAAATTTGCAGCCTTAATACATCAGGAACAGTCTGGATGATCCCGTTTGGCCTCAGTGGCGCCGCAAGGTTAGTAACAACACTAGTAATTAGTAAGACATATATATAAGTATAACCAAATCATGTAACCTCAAGATTACTGTTAATTGCCTAAATCCACAGCACAAGGGTGTCAAATGAGTTAGGAGCAAGAAATCCGAAAGGGGCTAAGCTTGCGGTTCGCGTGGTCCTGAGCTTTTCCATCATAGAGAGTATACTAGTTGGATCGGTTTTGATACTGATAAGGAAGATCTGGGGATTCGCTTACAGTAGTGACCCCGAAGTAGCCAGATATGTAGCCTCGATGTTGCCGATTCTTGCCTTAGGTCACTGCCTAGACAGCTTCCAAAGCGTTCTTTCAGGTTATATATATCTTCACTCAAAATAATTTATTTGCAAGGATTTCTTTGCTTGCAAGTAAAGACAAACCAACCTATAAATGTTTTTTTCCCGGTTAAAAGGGGTTGCTAGAGGATGTGGATGGCAGAAGCTAGGCGCTTTTGTGAATCTTGGAGCATACTATCTTGTCGGAGTTCCGTTCGGTTTGTTACTTGGTTTTCACTTTCACGTCGGTGGTCGGGTAATAAATCAATTAACCCAACTTAGATTCTCTCTTACCTCATCTCAAACTTTTCCAGTCAACTTATTTCAAAGTTACACATGTATTAACACCAACTTTTAATTTTAAGGGGCTTTGGCTGGGAATTATATGTGCACTAGTCGTTCAAGGTCTATGTCTTTCCCTCATCACCTTTTTTACAAATTGGGATGAAGAGGTAAAAAGCAGTATACTTATTATTTTTTTTTCTTTTTTATGAAATGTAACTATAGATTATACAGATATCTTATAGTTACACTACAATGCTTTCGTACTCCAACTCTATATATATGATTGTTATTGATTATGAATTTACTATATCTTGGTTTATTTACTCGATAGGTCAAGAAAGCTACAAGCCGAGTTGAGTCTTCTTCAGATGTGAATGAAATTGCAGCGGACAACGGGTCAATTCTAATTGTATTCTGAGAGGCGGAATCCAAAGCTAAAAAAATAGATCATACCTTATTTATCTTCTTCGTTTTATGTTTTTGTATGTGAGTGTTAGTGTAAGTGTGGGTAATTATAGTAAATAAAAGAGATTATTTAATCATAATATCATTGTTACTAATAATAATCATCAACATTCAAACATACATAGAGTATGATAATTATTATTTCATTATTAATAGATTAAATTACACTATTTAGTATTTGTTACACGTATAATATAATGCTATTTCATTATTAATATTTAATAGATTAGTTTTTTTTTTTTATAATTTGATTTGATTTAACAATCTGATTTTATTTTATTTGTTACTTTATTCTATAATATAATTTTATTTCATTAGTCTAGTACTCTAGTGTATATAATTTGAGTTGTTCCCCTTAATTAGGGCTTTTCAATTGTAACAAACGCCGTCGATTTCTTGTTCGTAGGTTTATGTAATAAGTGTATATTCAGCCACTGCTATTGATCGAAACCAAAGTCATGGTGAGAATAACAATTTGCAGCAGAATTCTCAAATTTTCAAAACCCTACTTTTGGTGTGCGACGCAGAGTTCAAGCCGTTGCTTTAATTCACGAGCCCAATCTCATGATCTCATTACAAAGACGATCACTTCTTCTCTTCAAGACGTTTTAACACGACCCACTTGGCAAAATCGAAGCTTTGTTCAATGCAGAAGAGTTTCCTCCCATGCTCAGATGGCTTATGATCATCAATCTGTGACGATTGAGAAATTTGATGCTTTGTGTGAAGAAGTGAAGATAAGAGAAGCCTTGGAAGTTGTTGATATCTTGGAGGATAATGGATATGTAGTGGATTTTCCCAGGATTTTAGGGTTAGCGAAACTATGTGGTGAAGTAGAGGCTTTGGAAGAAGCTAGGGTTGTTCATGACTGTATCACTCCTTTAGATGCTAGATCTTACCACACGGTAATCGAAATGTATTCTGGTTGTGGATCCACTTATGACGCTTTGAAGGTGTTCGACGAAATGCCTGAGAGGAATTCAGAGACTTGGTGCATTATGATGAGGTGCTTAGCGAAGAACGGAGAAGGCGAACGCGCAGTTGATATGTTTACGAGTTTCAAAGAGGAAGGGAACAAACCCGACAAGGAGATATTCAAAGCGGTTTTCTTTGCGTGTGTTTCTCTAGGAGACATTAACGAGGGATTATTGCATTTTGAGTCTATGTACAGAAATTATGGTATCATTCCTTGTATGGAAGACTATGTGATTGTAACCGAGATGTTAGCAGCTTGTGGTCATTTGGATGAGGCATTGGAGTTTGTTGAAAGAATGACGGTGGAACCGAGTGTTGAAATGTGGGAAACACTGATGAATCTTTGCTGGGTTCATGGTGATTTAGAGCTAGGGGATAGGTTTGCCGAGTTAGTGAAGAAACTAGATGCCTCAAGAATGAACAAAGAGTCAAATGCAGGTCTTGTAGCAGCAAAAGAATCAGACTCTACAAAGGAGAAACTTAAGGAATTGCGATATTGTCAGATGATGAGAGACGACCCAAAATTGCGTATCTGTCAGTTTAGAGCAGGAGATACTTCACATCGGAAGAATGACGAAACCGTTGCTGCATTGAGGAGTTTGAAAGTGCAAATGTTAGATATGGGTTTTTGTTGAAAGTTAAACTTGATTTTGAATCAAGTTTAATTATTGGGTCAATTACCCAATAATCATTTGATGGACCAAATCCAAGTTCTAGAGTTTTCTCTAGAAATATCATAATTACCACCTCCTTAAAATGTTCTAGAAATTTTCTAGAATCATCTTCCACCTCCTTAAACATAAAAATCTATATATTCTTATAGAATAATCTAGATAATTAGAATATTGTAATCTAGATATTATGTTAAGAACTCTCTAGATTTAGGATTAAAATATTTTAGATATTTTGTAGTTTGGAGACTATAAATACCTCCTCCCTCTCTCATTTGTTGTAATGTTATGAAGTTGTCTTCAAGTTAAAATCAAAGTAATAAAAGTTATATTTCCTAAAACTCTCTCTCAAACACTTAAACACTTTCTTCATTACCTCTAAAAGAATTTTACTCTAACAAAGTGGTATCAGAGCTTGAAGATCCTAAAGATGGCGAGTAACAACGTTCCCTTCCAAGTTCCAACGCTCACAAAGAACAACTACGATAATTGGAGTCTACGAATGAAGGCTATGCTAGGAGCACATGACGTGTGGGAGATAGTCGAGAAAGGTTTCGTTGAACCGGAGAATGAAGGTAGTCTTTCTCAAACTCAAAAAGATGGTTTGAGAGACTCAAGAAAGAGAGACAAGAAAGCTCTCTGTCTAATCTATCAAGGATTAGACGAAGATACGTTCGAGAAGGTCGTTGAAGCTACATCGGCCAAAGAAGCATGGGAGAAGCTTCGAACCTCTTACAAAGGTGCCGATCAAGTCAAGAAGGTACGTCTTCAAACTCTAAGAGGAGAATTTGAAGCATTGCAAATGAAGGAAGGTGAACTCGTCTCGGATTACTTCTCAAGAGTGTTGACGATTACTAATAACCTTAAAAGAAACGGAGAGAAGCTAGATGACGTGAGAATCATGGAGAAAGTTCTTAGATCGTTGGATCCAAATTTGAGCATATTGTCACCGTCATTGAAGAAACGAAAGATTTAGAAGCTATGACAATAGAGCAACTTCTTGGGTCATTACAAGCTTATGAAGAAAAGAAGAAGAAGAAAGAAGATATCGTCGAACAAGTCCTCAAGATGCGGATTACTAAAGAAGAAAATGGCCAAAATTACCAAAGACGAAGTGGTGGTCAAGTACGAAGACGAGGTCGTGGATATGGAAATGGACGAGGTTGGAGGCCATATGAAGACAACACAAACCAAAGAGGAGAAAATTCATCGAGAGGTCGTGGGAGAGGAAGTTCAAAATCAAGATATGATAAGTCAAGTGTCAAATGCTACAATTGTGGGAAGTTTGGACATTATGCTTCCGAATGTAAAGCTCCTAGCAACAAAAAAGTCGAGGAGAAGGCCAACTACGTTGAAGAACAAGTCCAAGAAGAAGACATGTTATTAATGGCTAGTTACAAGAAAGGTGAACATGAAGAGAATCATAAGTGGTACCTTGATAGTGGTGCAAGTAATCACATGTGCGGGAGCAAAAGTATGTTCGCGGAGCTTGATGAATCAGTGAGAGGAAATGTGGCTTTAGGAGATGAATCGAAGATGGAGGTAAAAGGCAAAGGAAACATTCTCATCCGATTGAAGAATGGAGATCATCAATTTATTTCCAACGTTTACTATATTCCGAGCATGAAGACAAACATTTTGAGCCTTGGACAACTCTTAGAGAAAGGTTATGATATTCGACTAAAAGATAATAACCTTTCTATATGAGACCAAGAAAGTAATCTCATTACCAAGGTACCGATGTCGAAAAATAGAATGTTTGTCCTTAACATTCAAAATGACATCGCACAATGTCTCAAGATGTGCTACAAGGAAGAGTCTTGGCTTTGGCATCTTCGATTCGGGCATCTAAATTTTGGAGGATTGGAGTTGCTTTCGAAGAAAGAAATGGTGAGAGGACTACCTTGCATCAATCATCCAAATCAAGTGTGTGAAGGATGTCTACTTGGAAAGCAATTCAAAATGAGCTTTCCGAAAGAGTCAAGTACAAGAGCTCAAAAACCGTTGGAGCTAATACACACGGATGTGTGTGGTCCAATCAAGCCCAAATCACTTGATAAAAGTAACTACTTCCTTCTCTTTATTGATGATTTTTCAAGAAAAACATGGGTTTACTTTTTGAAAGAAAAATCCGAGGTGTTTGAGAACTTCAAAAAGTTTAAAGCCCATGTTGAGAAGCAAAGTGGTCTTGCAATCAAAGCCATGAGATCCGACCGTGGAGGAGAGTTTACAACGAAGGAGTTTTTAAAGTATTGTGAAGATAACGACATTCAAAGACAACTAACGGTGCCAAGATCCCCTCAACAAAATGGTGTAGCGGAAAGAAAGAATAGAACAATTCTTGAGATGGCGAGGAGCATGCTTAAAAGTAAAAGACTACCAAAAGAGTTGTGGGCGGAAGTGGTCGCATGTGCGGTTTATCTATTAAACCGATCTCCAACAAAAAGTGTTTCAGGAAAAACACCACAAGAAGCATGGAGCGGAAGGAAGCCCGGTGTTTCTCATTTAAGAGTCTTTGGAAGCATTGCTCATGCTCATGTACCGGATGAGAAGCGGAGTAAACTAGATGACAAAAGTGAGAAGTATATCTTTATTGGTTATGATAACAACTCCAAAGGCTACAAGCTCTATAATCCCGATACGAAGAAGACTATAATTAGTCGAAATGTTGTTTTCGATGAAGAAGGAGAATAGGATTGGAAATCAAATGAAGAAGATTATAACTTCTTTCCACACTTCGAAGAAGATGACTCGGATCTAACAAGAGAAGAGCCACCAAGAGAAGAACCTACTACACCACCAACTTCACCAACAAGTCCTCAAGGAGAAGAAAGCTCAAGTGAGAGGACTCCACATTTTAGAAGTTTACAAGAGCTCTACGAGGTAACCGAAAATCAAGACAACCTTACTTTATTTTGTCTATTTGCGGAGTGTGAACCCATGGATTTCCAAGAAGCCATTGAAAAGAAGACTTGGAGAAATGCCATGGATGAAGAGATAAATGCGATAAAAAAGAATGATACATGGGAGTTAGCTTCACTTCCAAATGGGCACAAGGCGATAGGTGTGAAGTGGGTGTATAAAGCAAAGAAAAATTCTAAAGGAGAAGTGGAAAGATACAAAGCAAGATTAGTGGCCAAAGGTTATAGTCAAAGAGCCGGAATCGACTATGACGAAGTATTTGCTCCCGTTGCTCGTCTAGAAACGGTTAGACTAATCATTTCACTAGCGGCTCAAAACAAGTGGAAGATACAGCAAATGGATGTCAAGTCGGCCTTCTTAAATGGAGACCTTGAAGAAGAAGTTTACATTGAGCAACCACAAAGCTACATAGTCAAAGGAGAAGAAGACAAAGTCTTGAGGCTAAAGAAGGCGCTTTACGGATTAAAACAAGCCCCAAGAGCTTGGAATACTCGAATTGATAAGTACTTCAAGGAGAAAGACTTCATCAAGTGTCCATATGAGCATGCACTCTATATCAAAATTCAAAAAGACGATATATTGATCGCATGCTTATATGTAGATGACTTGATATTCACGGGTAACAATCCAAGCATGTTCGAAGAATTCAAGAAAGAGATGACAAAGGAGTTCGAGATGACGGATATTGGATTGATGTCTTACTACCTCGGAATTGAAGTAAAACAAGAAGACAATCGAATCTTCATTAGTCAAGAAGGCTATGCTAAGGAGGTACTTAAAAAGTTTAAGATGGATAACTCAAACCCGGTGACCACACCAATGGAATGCGGAATCAAATTATCAAAGAATGAAGAAGGAGAAGGAGTGGATCCAACAACCTTTAAGAGCTTGGTTGGAAGCTTGAGATACTTAACATGCACAAGGCCCGATATTTTATATGCAGTCGGAGTTGTTAGTCGTTACATGGAGCATCCAACAACAACTCATTTCAAGGCGGCCAAGAGGATTCTTCGCTATATCAAATGTACTATAAACTATGGCTTACACTATTCTACTTCTAATGATTACAAGCTTGTTGGATATAGCGATAGCGATTGGGGTGGAGACATAGATGACCGAAAAAGCACAAGTGGTTTCGTGTTCTACATTGGAGATACGGCTTTCACATGGATGTCGAAGAAGCAACCAATTGTCACTCTATCCACTTGTGAAGCAGAATATGTAGCGGCTACTTCATGTGTGTGCCATGCTATTTGGTTAAGAAACCTCTTAAAGGAGCTAAGCTTACCACAAGATGAACCAACGAAGATCTTTGTGGATAACAAGTCGGCAATAGCATTGGCGAAAAACCCGGTCTTCCATGATCGAAGTAAACACATTGACACACGTTATCACTACATTAGAGAGTGTGTTAACAAGAAGGACGTGCAATTGGAGTATGTGAAGACACATGATCAAGTAGCCGATATTTTCACCAAGCCTCTCAAGCGCGAAGATTTTATCAAGATGAGGAGTTTGCTTGGAGTAGCAAAATCAAGTTTAAGAGGGGGTGTTGAAAGTTAAACTTGATTTTGAATCAAGTTTAATTATTGGGTCAATTACCCAATAATCATTTGATGGGCCAAATCCAAGTTCTAGAGTTTTCTCTAGAAATATCATAATTACCACTTCCTTAAAATGTTCTAGAAATTTTCTAGAATCATTTTCCACCTCCTTAAACATAAAAATCTAGATATTCTTATAGAATAATCTAGATAATTAGAATGTTGTAATCTAGATATTATGTTAAGAACTCTCTAGATTTAGGATTAAAATATTTTAGATATTTTGTAGTTTGGAGACTATAAATACCTCCTCCCTCTCTCATTTGTTGTAATGTTATGAAGTTGTCTTCAAGTTAAAATCAAAGTAATAAAAGTTCTATTTCCTAAAACTCTCTCTCAAACACTTAAACACTTTCTTCATTACCTCTAAAAGAATTTTACTCTAACAGTTTTGTCCCTGCGACTCGGGTTTGTTTGGAAAAAGTCGAAAAAGAGGAAAAAGAGGAACAACTTCTTTTTAGAAGCAACAAGCTTGCCTTTGCTTACGCGCTCCTTCATTCAAAGGCTCGGAAACCATTTACTGTTACACAAGATATGCGAACCTGCATTGATGGCCACAATACATTTAAGATGATCTCACTGATCACTGGCAGAGAACTGACACAGCGAGATCAAAAAAGATTTCACCATTACAGAAACGGGGTCTGCTCCTGCCGAGATTACTGGTGAGCTCTATGGTTTTTCAAAACCTATATCTCCTCAACTTCAAATGGTGATTTACTTAGCTTGTTAGAGATTTTCTTCCTTGATTCTTTTAATAAATTTCTAGAATATGACTGAATGTTTCTTTCCCAGAACGTTGGTATATATCGGTTGGAAATTAAGTTCAGGATTAACATTTCGATGCTTTAATCAGATGGTGATTTTGCCAATGTGTGAAGAGTTTTTCAGTTTTCCTAACTACATATTTTATGGTTGAATGTGAGCATCGTCTTCTTCGAATATATATCTGAGATGGTTTTATTCGAATAAACTTCAAAAGGCATTGCAGAGAAGAAGGATGAAATTAGGCTGCTGGAAAGACAGCGAAGCAGACATGACTTTGGCTTGACGTGCAAGTCATATCCTACACATTAGGGTCTGAGAGATGATCTGTTTTATCTCAGTCACAATGCCAATGCGACGATCATAAAATATAAACGAAAATCAATTTTAGATTAAAAAACTTTGGAGTCTCGTCTGTGGAGCCCATAACGAAGGTCAGGCCCAGTTAAAGCCCACCAACTGAAGCGGCAATCACCGTCGTTAAAGCCGACAACACGACGGTATCAAGCTGTTTTTTTGGGAGACTGTGTTGCGTGGTCTCGTTTTTAAGCTATCTTCATCATCAAGTTTTGTTCTTTTGCGTGGTTAATTAATGGAAGATTCAATCATCAAACCCTATTAGCTGCGATCGATTCCTAGACGCACCAGACGAATTCTTTTACGACAGCTTCGCGACCCACTACGATTCCGACTGCCTCAATTCGTCTCCCGCCGCGAATATCCTTCGCCGAAGGTTGGTTATGGATACGGATTCGTCTTCTTGCTCTTCTACTACATTGAAATCTTTTGAGAAACGGAGCTCCGTGGGAGAAAATGACGAGCTTGAGGTTTCTATAAGGAATTTCGAAACAATTGAGACTGATGTCGATGTTACTGACTCTGCAGATAGCTCAATCGACCCAATTCAAGAAAAAGGGGGAAGACTTTGAAGTTATTGACTCGTGTATCGATACGGAGAAGAATATGGATGTGAATGATTCGGGTCGGGTTGACCCGTTTACAGCAACCACCTTGAATGATGAGCGAGGTGAGGTTTATACCGCACAGGAATCCCCTTGGACGGATTGGTCTTTGACCAGGCTAGTGATCAGGTCAATTGAATTTCAAGTTAGTTTGATGATTAGCTTTATAAGGTTTCCTCCATGGTTAATTAGCAACTGCTTGAGCTTTGTTTTTGATCCATATCGAACAATGAGGCGTGGTAGACGCTATTTAGTATCGTGGATTGTAGAGTTATGTGAGTCAGGGTTAAAATATGATAAGCCTGTGTTGGAGCTTGTGCGGAAGTTAGCATGGGGTTTGTTTTGTGCTGTTTATGTGGGGATCATGTTGTTTACCTTGTTGGTTTCTGCGTTTATGATTAGTGGTTTTGTGATTACTCATTTGGCTCATGAACCACTTGTGATCAAGGAGAGTTTGAATTTTGATTATACCAAGAGTAGTCCAGAAGCTTATGTGCCCATAAGTTCATGTGCTGGTATTGCCTTTGATTTGAGTGGCAAGGAGAGTATTGAAACCGGGAAGATCAGAGGTTTGAAGGACAAGACAGAGATCACTGTCTCCATGACATTGCCTGAGTCTGAGTACAATAGAATCCTTGGGATGTTTCAGGTTCGGGTGGACTTCTTATCCGCGAGTGGTGAAATGCTTGCTAGTTCAAGGAGGCCGTGTATGGTAAGATTTAGAAGCGAGCCTATACGTCTTGTCCAGACTTTGCTAAAGATTGCTCCGCTTGTCACGGGCTATGTCTCTGAAATTCAAACCTTGAACTTGAAGCTTAAAGGCTTGGTCGAAAAGGACATTATTCCTACTGCTTGCTTGAAGGTAATGATTGAACAACGGGCAGAGTTTCGTCCTGGAGCAGGTATTCCCGAGATTTACGATGCATCTCTGTTGCTTGAATCCAAACTTCCTTTCTTCAAAAGGATCATATGGAACTGGAGGAAAACTTTGTTTGTCTGGATCAGCATGAGTTTGTTCATTATGGAATTGCTTTGCGCCTTAGTTTTCTTCAGACCTCTGATCATCCCAAGAACTGGTCAGAGTACACAACAAAGAGATAGAACACATTCTCTCAACAACTTAAATCTTGACAGTCAGGCGGGAAGTAGATGAATCAGTGGTTGACTAGTTGTTGTAACGGTACTTACACTTACTGTAACTTTAGTTTCTTCTTCAACCAAAATTGTAATATCTTGCCTGCTAATTGAAGTCGCATTGTCCGAATAAACTTTTAAGTTTCTTGAATCGTTTTTATAAGTCACAATGATACAGACTTCTAATTTGATTTACAGTGTACTTGCACAGTTTGTGTTGATAATGATTAGTTACAATGAGGAGCAGTGAACAGATTTGAAGATGCAAGAACGAGGATTGACCTTAAAGATTGATCTACATCATCACAAAGGAAGATCGGTAACTCGTTTATGAGAAGATCCTGTCTTGGAGAACTCAGGTTCTGCGTTCTGTATAGACGGTAACATTTTATGAATCAAGGCCCCAGAGACAGCACCAAGTGTTGGAGCCAGCAAGTATATCCAAATCCCTTTGTAACATCCCCACACCAGTGCAGGCCCTATGCTTCTTGCTGGATTCATTGAGGCTCCTGATACCTCTCTGAAAAATGAAAGTTTGGATTATTCCCATTGGTTAGCTAAAAAGATTCTTACCATTGAAGACTTTTGAGCTTACAGAGATTGAGGGGGAAATGTGAAACTTACCCGGCAAAGATAACATTCAGTGTGACGGCTGCCCCAATGATTAACCCCTCTAGTTCCTCAGTCTGCAAGATTGATCAATGTTAAGAGTGAACTTTATATATATCATCTGATCATGAGGTGTTTTTGGTTGTTGATCGCTTACAGTTTTCTTGGTAGTTGTGACGGCACAGACGACTAACATGAGGAAGCCGGTAATGATGAACTCCATCACGAATGCTTGAAAATCAGACCCAGAAGGAGATGACCCGAGGAAGACATCATGACCCGAGGAAGACATCATTGTTCAGATCAAACAGAAGACGGAGAGTCGCAGAGGCCAAGGTTGATCCGATGACTTGAACAGTTATGTAAGCCGGGACTTGATTCAGAGGGAATCTTTGGGAGGATGCTAAGGCAAGAGTGACAGCAGGATTGAAATGTGCAGAGATGTGGCCGAGACAGTAAACAAGAACCATTACCACTATACCCCAAACCACTGCAATGCCCACAAGAGTCACTACATGGTTGTGTTGAGCATTCACGGCAATAGCAGCACAACCCGCGAATATCAAGTAATAAGTTCCCACGAGTTCCGCCATAAGCTGCAGATTGATTTCTCATCGTTACTATCAGTTAAAACGAATACTTGAAAAAGAGAAGCTTGTAAGAGTGGATTAAGCTTCTTTTTTTTTCTCAAGGGACTGAAAAGAACTCACCTTTTGCAAGAAATGGACAGAGATCAATGGCGAGGATGATGACTCGTTTTTGGTGTCTGCAACAGAGGAAGCTTCGATGTTGAGTACAACAACATTTCCATGGTTGCTCTTGCTAACGGATATGTCATCCATTTGTCGTTTAGGTTTTTTTTTTTTGCTGCTTAATCAGAGAAAGAGAAAGAAGGACAAGAGACTGTAAGCTTTGATTGATGTTTGAAGTGTTGTGTTTGATAGTAATGAGATTTCTGCCTTTTATAGTGTCTTTACCAAAACCAAATAAGAAAGAAAACATAGTGAATAAAAGTCAAATTTTGCTTTTTTGTGGGCAACTTGGTAAAGAAAAATCATGGTTGATTGGATGTATAATATTTTAAATAAAATAAAAGCTTAATACTGCTGAATTGAAGCAGATGGTTTTGGGGAGCAAAAAACATAGGTCGACACCAAATAGATAAATGCTATTTTATGTTAAGAAACAGTCAAATCCAATTCAAGTTTTCGGTTAGGTTCCTGGTTTTTTGTGTGTTTCCAGTTTTGTTAGTTCAAGATTATAATATACACCAAGTTGAGGGAAATTGCGTTATTGCGCAGGTTACCAAAAGTCAAAACCATAGGATATAATGCTAACTGAAAGATTATATTAGATTATATTCACATGTTAAAATTATCTGGGATCAAATCATAAGCTTGACCCGTATTCGAACCATAAGCTTAACACATGATTAATAATAACTAATTTCACATGAGGTCGAATAAAAGAATTAAACTAATCAGTAATCACTCCAAAGCAGCTTGACCCGTATTCGAACCTAAACCCAAAGCCATATCCGAACCTAAACCTGATCCTGAATCCGAAACCGAGCCTGACCTTTTGAATTCAGTTTGTGCCACATGCGACTCTTCTAAGCTAGCAAATGCTCAAACCAGAGAAACTAGCTTTCTCCATTTACCGCCAATTCCAATTCTCTCAATTCAAACCTAGACAACTCGAAGAAGCACGACGCGGCGATCTTGAGAGAGGCTTTCTTTTCCTGTTGAAAAAATGCATCTCCGTGAACCAATTGCGAGAGATTCAAGCCCAGATGTTGTTACACTCCGTCGAGAAACCCAATTTTCTGATTCCCAAGGCCGTCGAACTTGGAGACTTCAATTACGCTTCTTTTCTCTTGTCTGTCACGGAAGAACCAAACCACTACTCTTTCAATTACATGATCCGAGGGTTGACCAATATATGGAATGATCACGAAGGTGCTCTGTCTCTGTATCGACGGATGAAGTATTCTGGGTTAAAGCCTGATAATTTCACTTATAATTTTGTTTTCATTGCTTGTGGGAAGCGTGAGGAGATAGGGGTTGGTAGATCTGTTCATTCCTCGTTGTTCAAAGTCGGATTGGAAAGAGACGATCATATAAGTCATTCTTTGATTATGATGTATGCGAAATGTGGTCTGGTGGGTTATGCCCGGAAGGTGTTCGATGAAATTACTGACAGAGTTACGGTGTCTTGGAACTCGATGATCTCTGGGTATTCTGAGGCGGGTCGCGCAAAAGACGCTATGGATTTGTTTAGGAAGATGGAGGAGGAAGGATTTGAACCAGATGAGAGGACGTTGGTGAGTATGTTGGGTGCTTGTGCACATTTGGGTGATTTGACAACTGGTAGATTGCTGGAGAAGATGGCTATCACGAAGAAGATCGGGTTAAGCACCTTTCTCGGGTCTAAGTTGATCACTATGTATGGAAAATGCGGCGATTTGGATTCTGCCAGAAGGGTTTTCAATCAAATGATTAAGAAGGATCGTGTTGCTTGGAATGCTATGATCACTGTGTAAGTCATCAATGTTCGACACTATATTCAGGTAAAGTATGATTCTTTAACCCGTTAATAAAGCTAAATTTGGACTATTTCGGTTCTTCTTTTTCAGATACTCACAAAATGGGAAGTCGAGTGAGGCTTTTAAACTGTTTTTTGAGATGGAAAAAACCGGAGTTTCCCCAGACGCGGGCACATTGTCTACGGTTCTGTCTGCTTGTGGTTCAGTTGGAGCTCTTGAATTAGGCAAACGAATTGAGACCCACGCATCAGAAATTTCCTTGCAACATAACATCTATGTGGCCACAGGACTAGTCGACATGTACGGAAAGTGCGGACACATAGAGGAAGCCCTGAGAGTATTTGAAG